CACACACACACACACACACACACACACACACACACACACACACACACATAGTCACGCACACACGCACACACGCACACATACACACATACACACAAACACACACACACACACATTCATTCTATCTTCCTCAGTGGATCACGATGGTGCGTGGCAAAGCCATGAGGTCGAGCAGCAACACGAGCGGCAGCACGAGCTCGAGGAGGAACGACGGCGGCCGTCAAGGAGGGTCCATAAGCCCGTTCAGTATAAGATGGCCCGACGGGAGCCTGTTCGACAGGAGGGATGTTGTCAATGTGGTGCAGTGCACACATGGGAGATTCACCTGGCAGCTACGCTATGCATGGGAGATCCAAGCAGCCATGGAAGAAGAAGAGAGACAGCGAGCTGAAGAGGAGAGAGACAGAGAACGGGACATGGAGGCGAGGAGGTATCTGGAAAAGGAGAGAGAGAACCCCAGATCGCTGGAATAAGACGTTGCGAGAGAGAGAAGAAGCCCGCGACCTTCCTCCCTCCAAAGTCGAGGAACAGTGCTGGCTAGCACTGGATATGGCGAGGAGGATCGAAACGCAACGCGCCGCAGCCAAGACGAATGAAGGAACCCCAGGAGATGAATAGCACGGTGGAGGCAGGAAAGAGATGGAGATATCTCCAAAAGCAGATGACCGTGGCACCTTTGCATCAGCCGCCGCATCCGAGTCTGGAACGCAACAGTCGGAAGAGATTGAGAGAGAGAAAGAGAGAAAGAGAGAGAAAGAAAGAGAGAGGGAAAGGGAGGGAGAGAGAAAGACAGAGAGAAAGAGAGAGAGGAAGATAGAAAGAGAGAAATACATAGGGAGAGAAATGGCGATGGGCGCCATGTGAACATCATCACGTCACTGTCGCCACGTCAGCACTGAGATATCAACGGCGGCAGATCGGCGGCGCCAGGTCAGCAACTTCATTTCAACGCCTCCACGTCAACAAAACCGAGTTTTCTTCTTCTAAGTTTCGATCAATCAATCAATCAATCAATCAAATTTTGATTGATTGATTGAGTGAGTGAGTGAGTGATCCCCGCAACTGCGCGCGACATCAGCGTCATCCCCGCAACTGTGTGCCACGTCAGAGAGAGAGAGAGAGAGAGAGAGAGAGAGAGAGAGAGAGAGAGAGAGAGAAAGAGAGAGAGAG